ACCTTGTCCCCTTCATTTGATTATAATTACAAAAGGACTGATTGAGTTTCTTTATGAAAAATCCAAGTCTGAGAGTAGCAAGAGGAGAGAGAAATGGAAAGAAGAAATGGAAGAAAGGAAGGGTAGAGGGGGGAAAAGAGAATTTGTATCAAGACATATTAGCTTAACTAGGTAATCTTTAAAGACTCGGAATAATATGCTTTCTAAGTTGTTGTGCTGGGTTTGTGCAAAATGAGAATTTTACTTATATGGCAAGTAAATTATCTAACCTTAAATACTCATGGTTCTAACACAGTAATGATTGAGATCCAAGATTGGCAACTTGCCCTGTCCTCTATTTAAAATAATAATAATAAAAACCCAAAACACCAGCAAACTAAGGCAATTTTTTAAAAAAAATTTGTTTGATGGGTTTTAGAAGTTCAAGTTGAAGTCCTACTTTCATTATCCAACTAAAAATCAGAAAAAGATAAAAATATAGACACAAACACAATTTACGACATCACCCTTCAGCATAAGAATGTTCTCCTAACCAAGGGTTCTATGAGGTAATTCCAATAGACAAGGAGAAAAGGAATTTTATTAGGAGACCCTAAGGCAGAGTTCAGATTTCTCTGGAATTTGGGTTTGGATTTTTGGTGACATGTATTTACATTATGGACTCCTAGTAGTGTAGGTACTTTCTTAAAAATAAGGTAAAAGATTCTGTTGCTTCTCTGTGACTGTCTTTCATGAAAGTGCACCAAAAGAGTGATCCCAGGCAATGGACTTAAGGCACATTTTGCAGAGGTATATCTTTTTCAGCCTTCTAGTTTCCTACAGATGGCTAAAGCAGGGGTATGGAACATGCTGTCATATTTCATTCATAACACACATGTACTGTAGTTCTAGGCAACAGATGGACAATCGCTTGTTTAAACTACAAATGTGCAATACTAAGGTAGAATTGCAATATTTCTAGAAATGTATATCGGGATAAAAGGCACCATTCCAAGCCAAGAGGAATGATGAGAGGCTGTGAGGTTACATCACTGTTTCCCTGATCTCCCTAGCAGCTGCCATAATTTCCCCAACACCCTTCAAAACTTGATAATGGTGGGATCAGGGGGCAACCGACACAGATTTGACAAGAAAAGCCCAAACCATATCAAATAGAAATAACACTGTTATTCCTGGCTGGTTCACATTAATAGGATTTTTAACTAACTAGAAAATCTGTCGGAAGTTGTGTTTTCAAAGTCTGGTCTATATTTCCTTAACTCTTAGCCCCACTGAAAAAGTACCCTCTTTCCCTCTGAACCCAAATGCAAAATACTTATTTAAAGATAGAGTTTTCCATCCTTTAAACATTTGCATAAATATCTCTACAGTATATTTTCTCATCGGATAGCAGTTATATAGTGTTGTTACTCTACCAACAGGAATCAGCATATACCTAAGAAAATAATTAAGTTGCTTCCATGAAAACAACAACAACAAAAAATGTGTTAATGATAAAATAACCCACCACATCTCTGAGCTGTAGAGACATTCAGCATCTCAAAGTCTTCCTGGGACACATACCTATATGGTGAGCAAATTATGCTGGGTTTTTTTTTTTTTCCGTTTTAGAGGCAGTTTTGCTTGATTTTATCACCTCTGGCAAACCAAGTTAGCACACTATGAGTTTGAGAATCTGGAGAATTAGGAACTCAATATCAAATAGTCTGCAGAGCTCATGATGTGGTGAGATTTCACCCTTTTCTAGGTCTCCTATGTTTAGGTTCTTAGCAATTTCCCCCAACCTGTGTATTTTTACAATGTTTCTCTTACAGATTGTGTAATAATTCTTACTACTACTTTTTGCATGAAATGGTAACAATCATCACAATATAACAAAAAAATAGGATTATAATCATTAAAGCAATATCTTTATCTTAGAGGCAAAATTCCACATAACTAAAGAGTTATTTATCATTAAAGAATCATTTATCATTATTTAAATCAAATGATTAATAGAAAGGACAAGAAAGCAGTATAAAATGAATGTTTAAAAAATCCTAGGATAAAATATTGGAAGGATCCTTTCCTTATTAAAGAAAAAAAAATTCTAATTCTAAATATTTTTGCATATGTATGTGTGCACATTCATTATTATAAAAGTATAAGTCTATATTAAAAAGAGACTTACTTTAAAAATCTTTGGTAAAGACACTGAGGTTATGTGTTAAAATACACTATAAAGATTCTAAGCAAGCAGTGTTTTCTTGGCAACATCACAGTGATGGGTCTGTGACTACATTTTCTTATATAATTGTTTTGCACATAAACATTTAGCTATATAAGAAGTGAACAAACAAGTAGAGTGTTATTGCATTTTTACAATATAAATATTTTTTATATTCTTCTTTTGGCAAAGTTTATAATATGACTGTCTTTCATGAGATAATATCTATCCCCAAAGACTGAGCTCTCTCTACTCTGGGTCTAAAAGACAATTTTCCACCCACTCTCTTTCTCAATTATTTCATAGAAAACAAGTTCTAGAATAAATTCAAGCAGATTATGTCACTCCAATTGTCTGATAATCAGTGACCTTTGACGTCATCAGCATGGTCTAGCCTTTAAGGTGGAAGACAGAAGAGATTTAGTTACCACTGTATTCTAAAATTTGCACATAGCACCTAAGTGAATTACATTCTACTTCACATTAGGAGCAAGGGGGGGGGAATCAAGAATAAAAATGGCAAGAAAAGTACAGTGGTCAACTGAAGCTCTTAAAACTAATAACTTGGGTTCTTGAAAACAAAACAAAATCAAAACCAAATTGCTTCCTGATGAAAGCAAAAGAGCCACCGAGTGACTTAAAGTATGAAGACTGTGTATTTGTTAATGTTGTGTAACTTGATTTTCTACTCACAGTGACACTAGATAGCAGAGCAGCATTGCCCCATCGTGTTTTCTAGGCTATAATCCTTAAAGATGGGGCTCTGGTGGTGTAGTGCATCATGTATCGGGCTGCTAATGGAAAGGTGGGCAGTTTGAATCCACTAGCTGCTCCTCAGAAGAAAGATGGGCAACAATCCCTCCCATCAAGACTTAACAGCCCCAGAAGCCCAGCAGAGGGTGGCTGTGGGTCAGGATAGATGGCAGTGGAGTCTTTATGGGAGCTCATGGCCAGCTGGTCTCCTGCAGAGCTGCTAGAGGGGGTTAGGCCATCACCTTCCTGATTAGTAAACAAGTGCCTGACAACAGTGCCAGTAGGCACTTGTTTATGATCCCTCCTAATTCATCTAACTAACTTTCATTGGGATTCCTGAGGTATGGGTTACAATTCCAAACATGAACAAATAATTTTTTATTTCCATCTGGATGGAAATAAAAAAAAAAAATCATACTCTAGAAAATCTGATTTCCTAATCACAAAAAAAATGTCTTTGCAGGGGAATGTCATATTTGATTTCTTAAACTGGATGGTACACAGATATACAGGGATTTATTATATTATTATCTATAATTTTTTAGATTAAAAATATTTCATAATTTAAAAGTATATATTTGTGAAAGATCTGAAGGAAAGTTTAAGAAATCTCAGTCCAAAATACTTCATTATTATACAAAATGGCAACCTGTCATTACGAAGCTAGTTGTCTTTCCTTAAATGAAACATTTTAGAACTTAATGAAGTATGGTTCTCCAGTTGGCAAGCATTTCATTGGCCAATGAGAGTTTGCATAAAAATTCTAGGCAGAGACCCTGCATATTTTTAGCTCTGAAAGGTAATTTTTTTCTCCAGTGATTGTCTTTGAAAGTGTGGTGTAAATGTCACATCAATGATATGAAAATGTCTTTTGCAATATGTAATTTGACTTGCAAAGGATTATGCGAATAATAAAACTGTAGTTTCGCAATCTTTTCAAGCTTCTCCTCTTTTTAAAAGTAAACGAAAGGAAAACCACAGATTTATTTTGTGTGTCCTCATTTGTAATTGCCACGCAAAAAAGTACCTGGGCTTGGGGCAGGGGGTGGAGTTCATGGGGATGAAGGAATTGGAAATTATTTTTTATGGCTTTCTTCCTTCTGGGGGGGGGGTGGTGTGTCCATTTTGTTAGTGGTCTTTGGGTATTAGAGAACACAGCAATACGAAAGATGAAAACTATTCTAAATAATATGTCAGTATTATTATGTCCAGGTAAAGTTGAAAAGAAAATCTTAAGATGGTATTGTAGCATAATAATAATAGACATTCTAGACACATGTCAAAATGCTTTTCCCAGCAAGTTTCGCTCCTACTTTTTCTAGGAAAAGAAACAATAAAACTTGCTTCTCTCCTACCTCTCTTTCATTAACTACGGGCTAATACTAGTTTGTTAAATGAGTCAAAACCTCTGGTCATTAGGCATTAGAATCTGGGTGACTGCAAATTAAATGTGGACTTATTTCAATTTTGTAACATACAACTTAAATTCTTGGTGGCTCAACATAGAAATTGTGTGTATTTTAACACCCCCCGCCCCAAAGACATAACTGATTTTAAGCAACAGAAATACACGCCGATCTACTTCTCAATACTTTAAAGAAAAAGAAAGTCTAAACTTTATGATCGTAGGCAATGTGGAAGTGATAGGATGGAGCCCCCAAGCCCAAGCACCTGCGAGTTGGCAGCCTCACCCATGAAAACTGCGTGACAGCAAATACCACACTAAAAAAAGCCATTCAACCAGATGAAAAGTGAGACAAACACAGGGATTAAAAGTTACAGGAATGCAGAAGTGAGTGGGATGGTGCGTAATCCGTGCAAAATTGTGGAAGTCATTGGGAACAAAGGCCCATCAAGGTCCTACATGATTAAATGTGAAACGTGTGCTTGATTAAAAAAAAAACAAAATAAACCCCCAAAACCCCCCAACTTTTGAAAAAGCTCATATTCTCTAAGTTTCTAAAGAAAGGTTAATAGCAGATGATGAATAACGACCATCCCACGGCTTGATTTCTTTTCCTCTACTTCTCGGCTGCTTTGTTTATCGTCATCTTGTGTTTCGCTCTTCTCAGTGGGCGGCAGGCTCTAAAGGTCAGTGCTCGCCTTGGCGGTCAGCACCCTGATGCGGGCGGAGTTGCAGCTCTTGCAGAGGATGTGCCCATCCAAGGGGTAGCAGCCTTGGTTGTCTCCCTCGGACAGGAGACCCCCACAATCCTGAGAAAGGGAAGACAGATGGAAATGACATGAGGGAGGTGTAAATAAAATATATAAAGGTCAAAGCCTTTCATAATACAGCTACTTAGGACTCTTTCTTTTGTCATAAACTGCCAACTCCTTCATCTCCTTCCCTGGGTATGTGGTATGTTGTTTTTGTTGTGTAAATGGCCCCGGAGGGAGCTCTGGGGACCTAGTGATAAGAACTTGCACTGCAATCCTAAAGGCAGTGGTTCAAATCCACCTTGAGAAGGATGAGTAATCTCTTCCCATGCAATTTACTGCTTCTGAAAACCCATTGGAGGGTCAGCGATGAGTTGATTCCAACTTGACAGCATACAACAACAACAATAACAACAGCAACAACAATGAACTGCACAGGAGATTGCCAATCTTTCTCCCCTGGAGCAACAGCTGGGTTCAAACCCTGTGCCTTTGCATTTGCAGTGTGTGGGCAATCCCCACCTTTGTGTGATTAACTGCCTCTAAAACTCACTGGAAGGTCAGCTATGGGTCAGTTTTGACTCTAAGGTACCCAACAGCAACAACAACAAACTACTAGAGCTCCAATATACCATAATATTAAATTTAAACTGACTTAGAAATTGGGCACCAAACTGAGTTAAATGACCCTCTTAAGATCATTTGAAGGAGCCAGAGTGACATGGTATGCTATATGTCAGGTTGCTGTATGTAAAGTCAGTAGTTCAAACCCACTAGCCACTCCAAGGGAGCTACACGGGTGGTCTCCTCTCCTAAAAATCTACAGCTTTGGAAACAACTCAACAACATGGACACATATGTATGTTGTTGCTGTTGGTTTGTGCTGTTCAGTTGGGACCAACTCATACTTGACTTTCCAGTGGGTTTTCAGAGGCTGTCAAGTACACAGAAGGAGATTGCAGATCTTTAGCTCATGGAGCAGCTGGTGTATTCGAACCACATGCCTTTGGGTTGGCGGTGCAACTCCTTGCCCACCAGGAACCCGAGTTCCCTGGGTGTGTATTAACTCACCTAAAGATGTCCCAGCACACAGTTATCATCAGCTGCTAACAGAAAGGCCTGTAATTAAAAACCACCAGCTGCTCTACAGGAAAAAGATGTAGCTATACAGATTTATATCCCTGGAACATCTACGGGACAGTTCTGCTTTGATCTACAGGTTTGCTTTGAGTCAGAATCAACTCAACAGCAATTGGATTGGGTTTGGTCTTATAGTCACGCAATAGAAACTGTAGTCTGAGGAGTAAGAGAAGAGCCCAAGGCTCTAGTTTCTTTAGTGAAGGTAAGTCAGATAAGAAGACACTGCTCATCTTTCTCTGATGGAGCAGCTAGTGGATTTGAACTACCTGCCTTTGGGTGGACTGCACAACAGTGTGACTACAACTCTATGAGGAATGCTGCTAAATCTTCTTCCCACCTCAGTTCATCCATGCATAAAATGATGTCTAAAGGATTCATTAACACTCTTATAGTAATGATTCAAGTCAGTTTTAAAGAAAATGCTGAACATAGTTGTTGCTCATTATCTTCTTAATTATGACTATGTATGTATGTTTGCCATTTTTATTAACTGTTCTCATTTTAAAATCACAAATGGACATATAATTTGGCTTCTAGGGCAAAACAATGTGTTGCATATAACAGGTGGTGATAGCTCAGCCAGTGAGTGGAAGGAATTCGGTCTCAGAAAACCACGATCCAGCCCTGAAAGCCCCAGGAGCCTGTGTGCAGACACGATCAGATTTAGCTGGATTGTATGAGACAATCTCATGGAGATGTGGTAATGGGGAAGTTCATATGATCCCTCACTGATGGAAGAGGGAACCGAAAACTGATGCCCTCCATAGAACATATGGAAAACAAGAAAATCGCTTCAAAACAGGGAATTTGGATAACATCCTAAACTAGGATACAAAAATGTTCTTAAATCATCTTACTTTGCGCATGTGATGCCATAGTGAAATCTAGATTAAAACGGGAAAGATTTCTTGTCTTGTGTTTTATTAATGGCTACATGTCCCTTAGCCTCAGCTCATCTCTTCTGAGAAGCATTACTTGCCACTCCTAGGCCAGATTTCAGGTCAATTCTCTTGTGAGAAATTTAGTACCTTGTGAGAAATTTTCCCATAATCTTTAGCAGTCAACTGATTCCTGCCTTAGATGTTGACTCAGTGCGTACTAAATCATGTTCCATAACTTTACACAGGAAGTTCTGACTTCTCTGGCATGAAAGAATTCTAATCCTTCTCCCTAAGTGATAATGTCAGCTCTGCCCCATAAGAGTAATTAATGGTATCAAAACTAGTTAAAGATTCAGTATAATAACAACAACACCATTTCCACTAACTTAGCAATTTAAATTAAAATTGGACTTGCCATATGAAAATACGCAAATCTGTAGTCTCACAGCTAGCTATACTTGCAAACGTTAAAAATGTGAATTCTTTTGAAAGGTAGAATGATTTATCTAATGCCACTTGCAGTATTATATATAAAACCCAAGTTCTAGGAACACAGGAAGCCTTGTCCCAGAGTGACAACAACATTCATTTAACTAAACTAGTGGAACTCTTAATATTAGTCAAGTGGCAGAGGCCCTGAGACACTGATCACAGACCTCACACCGGTAGCAGTGAACGTGGAAATCACGATCCAGGGCCACAATACGGACAGTTTCTTCTTGTCCTGGGGCTGGCATGATAGGCTCCTTGCATACAGAGCATCGTGGTGCAAATTTCCTGGAAACAAGAGAGATTTCCAATTAGATATCAACCATCAACACCAAAAAAAGGTGAGACACAGGTAGAAAGAACAGGTTATATACATTGAGCATCAGGGCCTCTGAAGTGCCACTGCCTTGTGACCATGAGCAAGTCACTTTCCTTCCATGAGTCTACTGACCCTCTGAATCATGAGAGACTTAGAAATGGTAACACTTTAGGTCCTTTCAGATCAAAGCTAGTATCATTGGGGTTGTTTTCATTGTGGCTGTGACATGGGGAATAGAAATTACTTATGCATGAAGAACACCTAGGTGCTATTTAGTATATAGTTTATGGTAGAGACAATCTTTTGCTTGCCAGTTTCTTTTTTGTTATTTGCACACAAAATTCAAATTCATCATGCTTCATTCCTGTACACTGTATTTCATACATTCCTTCATTCACACTGTGTTTCATATGATCACTCATAGACCTTGTGTTTTGTAAAATTGACTCACCATTGATCTATGCCTACTGTTGCCCTGTCTTTTCAAGGACCCACTGGATCTTTCCTAATTCCTTACTGCACCCCTCCTTCCACCAAACTCTGTTATCTTAGTGTTTTCCTCCATCCTAACACTCTACCCTTTACCCTCCTTCCCCTTTTGGACTTTTAGACACATCCTACGTTAGCCTTTTACAATAATGGTCTTATTGCTCGTCAAAGTATTAGGGTGCAGCGGTTTGCATGTTGCTGTGGTGCTGATAGATAGCGATGCTTCCACGGCTCTTTCAAATATCAGTAGGTTCATCCACACGCCACCAGTTTCAGTGGAGCTTGTAGACTAAGATACACTGGTGAAACAGGCTGCTAATCTACTTCCCAAAATTAGTCCATGAAAATTTTATGGATCACATATCATCTAACATAGTACTAGAAGATAACTCCCCAGGTTTGAAAAGCCAGAAGAAACAAACTCTGTGTCACTTAGTTGATTCCAACTCAGGGTGACCATATAGGACAGATATATGGATTGGGAAATTATGGTATGTTCACATAATGGAATACTACGCAGCATGCAGGAGCAATGATTTTTTTAAAAAAATGATACTGATTTATTTACAAAGTTTGAATACATTGCTTTTCACAAAAGAACCTTCCCATTTCCTTCACGCCAACCACCCATCAAATTGTGCAATCCTATGATTAGCACCCTACCCAGGAGCAATGATTTTGTAAATTACTACCTTGGGAGGGACTGGATAGCATTATGCTGAGTGAACTAACTCAGTCCCATAAGGACAAATACTGTATAAAACCATACTTTTAGAATGAGTATGAGGATCCAACAGGGCGTGAGGGGGTACAGGGAGTGAGAGTGGGCAGGAAGAGAGGGGTGGTTTAATCATAGTGGCGTACAATTTGATGGGTGCGGGGAGAGTGAAGGAAATGGGAAAGATCCAGTGTGAAAAACAATGCATTTGGAAAAAACTCAACAAAAACAGCCAACAATAAAACTACTCCTTAGGGTTTCCAAGGCTGTAAGTTATTATAAAGTACTCAACCTAACCTATTTTGGTAGAACTGAGAATGGCTCACCTTTCAGTTAGTGGTCAAATGTTTAATCCACTGAGCCACCAGGGTGCTTTCCTAGGTTGGAAGGTGCTACACAATAGATTCAACAATGGAGTCAAGCATACCAATAATCTTGAGGATGGCACAGTACCGGACAATGTTTTGATTGGTTTACATAAGGTCATTATGGGTTGAAGCCAACTCAAGGGCAACAACAACTGTGCATGAGATTCACCCTTGCGTGGATTCAGAATATAAATTCTGGTATAGGCTGGCCATTAGGGAGAACAAAGGTTCTGAATATCCCTACTTGACTCTGGTTTTTGCGTCTAGACTTTTGTATGTGTTTCTATTCCCTACTCAAATATCCTTAAGTTGATATCTTTATGTTGGTCTCACCTACCCTCTCTCTGTCCCTCTTTTTTTCAGAAATAAGGAGCCCTTCTTCTTACACATATGTTATTAGGAGGGGCTGGTCCTTGGAGAAGGATAATCATGCTCAGTGACTGTAACAATGGGTCCAATGTAACAAAGAGGATGATACAGGACACAGCAAGGCTCAGACCTGATGTTTATAGGGTTGCTCTGTGGGAGGATGATGCGTGGTCTCTTCTTGTGTGGTTTATTGCCTCTGAAAACCTGCCTGAGGGTCAGCTATGGGTCAGTGCCAACTTGACAGTACAAAACAAAATGCATCATCGTACTCGACTCATCGGCACCTACCAACACCAACAACAAGTGATACAGTAGTTAAGACACTTGAATGCTAACCAAAAGGTTGTGCTTCAAACCCACCAGCTGCTCTGTGGGAGAAAGATATGGCAAAAGATTTATAGCCTCACAAACCTGATATGGCAGTTCTACTCTGTCCTGAGTAGAGCTTGGAAATACCTCTACTGTACAGTCTTCTCTTATTGTATTTCTTAGAAATGTGTCTTGAATTATAGGAATTGACACAAGAGAAACTTTAGTACATAGTTTTACAAAATGGCAGAGGATAGTGAGTTGAAACATGCATAACATGAAAAGTACACTAAAGTTAAAGCTAAGCTGAAACCCTCCACACTTTAAAGGATTTAGCACCACAAAGGGCATGTGTACAAAAATGTATATGCATAATACATACACACATATGGCTCTGAGACTATCATTGCTGAGGAGTTTTAATATTCCTTACTTTCTGGGTATGAATGATAGACTAATATACACTGCTAATATAGCCTGTGCTGTGTTATTTTTATCTTCTGAGAATTAGGGGTGGCACTTGTTAAGGTGTGAGATGCGACATGATGTGAAATGGACATGGATAAGAACTGAAGGGCAAAAAAACTAAAGCATAAAAACGCCAGACTGAGTGATGCAGTTTTTTCATGATACTGTTTTTAAGATTAACAGAATTGAAATTTATCTATTTGTAGTGAGACTTAAAAAGAAATAATGATAGTAATCTAATACTTTATAGAGTACTTCATGGTTGTCAAAGCATTTTTACATATATTATACTCTATATGTACATATTAATTTTCCTGGCAGCACCTAAAATGGCTGTAATCTAAATAAATATGAATTAAGTAGCAGATCAATTGATTGCTATGAAAGAAAATTTAAAAGGATTATGGTACAACTGTGACAGTAATCAGCGTTGTTATAATTGGTATTTTATGCAAGAAGTTTACACTCAGTGGCAAATATATGTATCTTCATAAAAAAACCTGCTTTGGACTACTACTTAATTACTTTTGAATCTGGGTCATCAGAAATGAAATAAGCAGATTTTGGGGGATCAGCTGAAAAATGTCCTCCTCTCAAATTCACTGAGACTGTAAGGATAAATCTATCTCACCTGTCACTGTATCTGTGAGCTTCACCCAATTTCCTCAAGTAGAAATAATTACTCTTTAGCATGAATTTTTTTTCTTTGCATATGCTTATTTTAGTAGTAATTAGTAACTTATCTTTGGTATATGATCAATTACTATTATATCTTTGGAATTATCAAACTGTAAGCCTCCCAAGTACAGGACTTTCATCTATTATCTCTCATTTCAGAGTTTCTAGGAACAGCCATCATTACCGATCATGAGGGTAGAAATTCAGGCTATATCTAATGAAGAATTTATTTCTTTATAGAAACACACACACACACACACATCCACACATACACACACATCCTTGTTTAGATGTTTATGTTCAATCTCAAGGTCTTTCTCCTTTGGAAAGGCATACATTGCACTGTTGTCTAAAAACAGTCCTGTTCTACCTCTGCCTTCATGCACATGATGGGGAGAACAGAGTAGAGAGGAGGTGGCTTCCACAGCGCCCTCAGTGTCCCTGGCTGGTAATGCAAGTGAAAGCCAAACCCACTACTGCCAGGCTCACTCTGCCTCTGTCCCTCACAGAGCAGCACACCCTGCATTACAGGATATCTGAAGCTCTCACGCTTTAGCACAGCAGACTGGTACTTCCTCTTGCAGAGCAGCTGGTGGATTCGAACCAACATTTTAGTTAGCAGGCCAGTCAATGTTTAACCCACAGTGCCACCAGTGCTGCTGAGATGGTCTCTCTCAAGCCTTAGCTCACTGGTGAACAATACTAAGAAGAAAAAATTTTCTGAAAACTATCTTGATGATTAAAAGAGTTATTACTAAACACAGGGTTTGGATCTGTTCATCATGAGTCACCCCTGACTCAGTGCAACTAACAACAAACAACAACTTTTATCATTTCTATCTTAGCAGTTGAAGGAACAAGCAGAGACCCTGAGAGGAACAGTTTTAGTCATTTCACATCCCAGCATGATGGTGCTGGCAACCAAGGAATGCATGCTGGCCAAACAAATAAATGGGTGAGTGAGATATTCCTGGTAAGAAAGCACAGGCAGTGGAAGATAAGTTCCACATACAGAAGGGGATCACTAAACAAATCTGCAACCTACTGGTCTACACCTCTTCACGGTGCTGGGACTGGGAATACAAAATAGAGATGGGATACTTCTGCATTTGTTAAATATCAATTTTATATATATGATATTATATATTAATTATATCTTAATAATATCTTAAGATAATAAATTACATATTTATATAGAAAATAATTTATTATATATTTGTATATATATGATATATGATATATATTATGTATGTAATATATATATCATTTGTTATGTATACATTTATATATATTTCTGGTAGCATAGGAGTAAGAAGCTGAGCTGCAATCTGAAAGCATGTGCTTTGAATCTACAAACTATTCCATGTGAGAAAGTTGGGCAGTTTCCTCCCATGAGACTTGCTGCTTCCAAAGACCTGCTTGAGGGTCAGCTATGGTTCATTTCCAACTTGGTGATATACAACAAAAACAACAATAACATGTGTGTGTGACTATCTGTCTATCTGTCTATCTATCTATCTATCTATCTATCTCTATAAATCATGCACACGTCTGTGTGTGTGTATCCTTATAAAAGGAATGAATTAAAATTGTATGTAAAATCACACACATTCATGTGCATCCATAAACTGTTTTTATCCCTGTCAGATGGTAGTTAGTGCCCTCTACAGCAGGTTTATAAAACTCTGTGCAACATAAAGGATGGAGAAATCCCAACACTAGGAAAGGGAGGTGAGACTATCAAAGGCTTTTTATAGAGACTATCTGAGCTGGGTCTTGCAAGATGGTCACTTAGGAGAAACGTTGTCAGTGAGTGTAGAGGTAGCATAGTCAGGCTGCTAGGAAATTAGTTTGCTGTGATCATCTGAAATGACACCTGGCAAAGTGTTCATGCCCAAAAATCTACAGGAGCTAACTTAATTGAAAGATGCTATAGATGGACCATTAGCAGGGTCTCAAAACAAAACAAATTATATTCCAAACCTTGTTATTCAAAAGTACAGCCCAGGACCATATGGGCACTTGCAAAAAAAAAAAAAATAATAATACAGAATCCCAGTCCACTCAAGATCTACTAAATTAGAACCTCTGATTTAACAAGAATCCTAGTTTAACTTTTGTAAAGATAGACAAGTTTAGAAAGCATTACTTCAGAAGGCAAGATTCTCAGCAGGTGAGAGAAATTTTTTCTCTCCATTCTCTATCATACTATAACCTCCAGCCTAAGACTGTTACAATTAGGACAAAGTCAATCTTCCTTAAGCATGGAGACCTTCTCCTTACTCTGTCTGTGCTTTTAAAAATATTATTTTAATGGATGCATATTAGAGAGCTAGACAATGACTAAGGATGACAGAAGAATCAATGCCTTCGAGCTGAGGTGCTGAAAAAGAGTCCTGAACATACCATGGGTCTCCAAGAAAACAAACAGGTCTGTCTTGGAGAGGATGAAACCAAATTTCTTCTTGGAGGCGAGGATTTTGAAGCTGTCTCACATATTTTGGACATGTGCCCAGGAGAGATCAGTCCATGGAGAAGGACATCATGATTAGAAGGATGGAGGGACAGTGCAGGAGAGGGAGACCTTGCATGAGATGGATTGATACAGTGACTGGACAATGGGGGTTGGTGTGTAGGAATTAGTGAGACTGACTCAGGACAGGGCAGGCTTCAGAATTGTTACATAGGCTCCCTATGAGTGGCAGGTGACATGACGGCACGTAACAACAACTACATATATGTACATATATTTTTCAGGTGGATCTCTTCTATAAAAAAAAATTCTCTTACTATTCTTTGAGTAAAAGTCTACAAATCGTTTTTTCATCCAGTCATTTCATTCAATCATTAGGCATAGCCCTTGTTTTCTGCCTAAGTTGTTCCTTTTGTTGGACTTAACAACTGCTCACTTAGAACTTTCTTCATATGTTGTTCAAAGTCTGCTTAGAACCAAGTAACTCTCTTCCAACACTTAGAACATACATTACTACCTGTTTTCTGGTGTTTAACCCTTTTTATATCACAATTATACCTGCACATTTTGTCTTTCTCAGCAGCTGTGCTATAATCCTGAAGGTGTGCAGATCAAATGCACCAGCTGCTCCCTGGGAGAAGGATGGGCAATCTCCTTCCGTATGATTAACTGAAAACCCACTGTGGGTAGGTTTCAACTCCACAGCACACAACAACAACAAGTTCCGGAAAGCTCTTTGCCAACAGAGGTTTTACTCTACGTGTCTTATGTAATTTCTGTCATGTAATTCCACCAAACATCTTTTTGCTGTGGTAATGTGTGCGTTGATATGAGCTAGAAGTTATGTCACTGCTGTTTCAAATGCTAACAAGGTCGCCCATGGTAGAGAGGCTGCAGCAGAATTTCTGACTAAGAGACTAGGAGAAAAGGCTTAATGATTTACCTGAGAAATTTGTGAATATGGATCACAACAGACCAATTATCTGGTGTGCTTGCTTTAGACATATGATTTAAAAGTGTCTCAAACTATTGCCATTGAAGTGGAATAAAATATTGATGCTCCAGTGAGTTTTTTGAGGCTATAAAACGCAGGGAGAAGAGACTATCTCTCTTTCTCCCTTGAAGCCACTGGTGGATTTGAATCATCAGAACTAGGTTAACAGCACAACTCTCTATAAACTAGGCTACCAGAGGTTCTTTGATACATTATTGTTGTTATGTGCCATAACAACTCATAGTGCAACTATGAAATGCAACTCATAGTGACTGAATCTTGCCAGTCCTGAGCCAACCTCATCATCTCAGACACACCTGACCCCATTGTCACAGTCACTGTGCCAATCCATCTTATCCAAGGTCTTTCTCGCCTATGCTGAGCCTCCACCCTTCCAAAACATGATGTCCATCTCTACGGACTAGTGGGAATAAATTGTTAAAAGCTGATGTATCTTTGATGAAATAAAGGGATAAGGAAAGTGAGGAAGACCCTAGGTGGACAGGAACTGGCACAGTGACCACAGTGAGGAAATCTGAGTGTGTTGGGCAGTGTGAGGATGGCATAGGACCAGGCTATGCTTCATTATGCTGTATGCTGAAGCTCCAGGAGTTCCAGTTTATGTGATGACAATTTCTTTCTATGAATCTCCCCCCTCCCCTTACCACAGTAACTGACACACAAAAGGTTTTTTGTAAATGTAAGCTGTATTGAAGTGATAAACTTATCAATTACTAACTAATGCATCTGAAAGGCCATGTAGAGAGATGAAACTCATTCAGAAGGAACAAAAATAAGGCCCTAAATTTATTCTAAAGAAGGGATACTTCCCTAGTTACTCTTTCACTGGCCTTGAAAGGTTTATTCTATGTTGGGCCTTTTAATGTATTTGGATGTGTGTGTGTGTGTGTGTGTGTTTTGGGGGGAGGGTTGTTACTAGTTCTTCCAAGGCCTACAAATGGAGTTCCATAAAATTTCTCTTATTTTCCTTAAAATAAGGAAAATATGAAAATGCTTCTCCTCTCCATACCTGTCAATCACATAGACAGTCTCATTATTTTGTAAAAATTTTTTTAACATGTCATTAAACTAATAGGGGGGATGAGGTATTTTTCCTTTGAGTTGTTCTTGTCTGCTTTTCTGGGGCTTTCAGCCTCATACGCTTATGTCACAGTTCCAAGTCTCTCATTGTGCTCCCCAGTCCTAGAAATGAGGGATAAATGGCACTGATACACACATTTGTCAGAATAGATTTCCTGTTTTAATTGAAGGGTGTAATGTATCAATCTTTTACAGCAACAGAAACATGTGTGCTCTGATTATATCTATCAGTCTGTCTTGGATTAGGGTAAATCTAAGAAAGGGGAGAAACAGTGACAGAAACACACTCCCCGTTGGTATCTTTCCATTTCCTTTAAATAGATGCAGGGTTCCCCCCTCCCATGTGCAATTACAAGCTAAAAATATCAATAATGTGAAGTACAATTTAGGCTGCAACTGCCCTTTAAAGCACGCCTTTGCTTGTCTTATTCAGGTTGAGAATTTCTGCCTCTGGATTTCTCTCTCTCTTTTTTAAATTCATTAACCAACCTTCCTTCCTTCCTTCCTTCCTTCCTTCCTTCCTTCCTTCCTTCCTTCCTTCCTTCCTTTTCGCTTTTATTTTCTCTACCATTTGGAAAGTGGTCAGGAAATAGATTCTAAAATATGACTCTCAGGTCTTCAAACTGCTTGTGGCAAGAACCTCCTGGCTCTTGACAATCAACAGAGTGGCAAAAAATGAGCCCACAAGAGTGCACACTTTGGAGTGGAAGAGCAGATGCGCAGAGTGGTGAGTGACACAGGCCCTCCCTCTTGACAGCCTCACAGGCTGTCCTTAAAGATACTGCCCAGGGAATACCAGACAGAAAATCATCCACAGATGACCTCTGCAGCTTTCATATCATTATGTCAAAAGGAAACAAATGACAAGAAACAATGAACAAGTAACAAACTGGACAAAAAGAAGTAAAACCTAAAACTATACAATTCCTTTACAAATCACCCCCTGCCCTAGTATAAAATGATACAATTTGCCTGCAAATCTCATCTCAGGCACAGTTTGTGAAAAAGTTGTTGCAATCTTTTTTTTTTTTTTAAATAATTACCTTTTTTTTGCAGTCTTTAGACTCTATTTTCTAATCCTCCTCAAAAGACCACACACTATTGCATTAATAAATTTCATTCAAAAATATCTTAATTAGGACAACAGGTTTAGAGAAGGCATGAATATGTTGACAATAATGTTGACAATGATAGGAAATTGCCTCAAAGTCTGGGACAGACTTAATGTAAGAGTGACTGTATTGCTGTCTCTGTCTGTGCTCACTGGAGCTCTTTCCCCACCAACCTTCCATCCAGAGTAGGTAGTGAGGTCCTCTCTAGAGAAAACTCTGGGCTAGTCTAATCAGATGAACCTAAGGAAAGGGTCTGACATATTGGCTAAACTGAAGAGCACAGAGAAGTTGAATAATCAGTTTGCCTTGCCTCTGTGTAGGCCAGGAAGAGGACCTTAGTACCCTGACTCTTTCTAACACACATACTCAGTAGATGACTCAACCTTCTCACCATTACAGGACACAATGGATGACAAGTCTTCCCATTATTCCAGGGAAGTCTTCAAGAAAGACCTGATGACCACATGGATTGCCTATACTGACTGGGGAGATAAATTAGATCTTTCTAAAGTCTCATCTAATCCTGAAATTCTACAACTCAGAAAGAAAGAGAAGGGATTATAAGGTCCGGATTCTAGACCGTAAGAACAGCCTCTAAAAGGCCTGGCAGGTTATAGAGAGAGAGAGAGCATAATGCCTACTTGTGGAAGTCCTCAATGCAGTGGATGAGCCCGCCGGCATCCACGGTGAACGGGATCCCATCTAGGCTGCGGTGGCACATCACACAGGTGAAGCAGTGGGGATGGTAGGCCTTCCCGGTGGCACGGAGGATCCGCTCCATGATGGGCTTGGAGCACACATTGCACTGCTCCAGAGTATTCTGAGGGGGGAAAGCAAAACACAACAAAAACTTTTACGTCAGGTTGGATAGCACAACAAACGTTTTTATAGAACATGACTTCAATTCTTATCACATTCTGAGGAAGTCAGAATGTGTGTGTGTGTGTGTGTGTGTGTGTCAGAGACAGACAGAAAATGGCATCGATCCAGTGGCCTTTCAAAGATCATCCAGGTAGGAAGTAGCTGATTCAAGATTTTTGAAAAACACATCTTTTGAGTTTTACTCTTGTTCTTTTCTACTACACCAGGAGTCAGTAAACTTTTCTGTTTAGGGCCATCTAGCAAATATTCTCATAGAGTAAATGATGTGTGTCACATCAACTCAGTTTTACCACTATAGCACTAAGGCCGTCATATACATATAAAGAGATAAATGGGCGCAACTGTTCCAACACATCTTTGTTTATAAAAGTAGCTGGCGGCATGGGAAAGTTTGCTACCCTTGCTCTATATTACTCAGCTTCACCACTTGGAGAATGCTTTTCTATCACTTCTGAAATTTAATTAATTAGACAAAACTTTGTGTCGGAACCAACGTCTCCGGCTGCTGAACCAAGTCAGCGTTCAGCTTTTCAAGAGGTTTTTGGGCATTGCAAGTTCCTATTTTAAAAGACCACTTCCAGGTTTAGCGCTGGTAAACTCTTGATAGACATATTGAACCTGGGGAACCTTAGTGTTGAGAAGTAAATGGAGAAAGTCAGTTAGTTGGCTTGAAAAATGTGCCCTTCAAAACAGAGATCATTAGTTCCCACCAAGCAAAGTTTTGTTGCTGTTGTGCTTTTTGGTTTTTTTATTCTGGTGAAGTCCTCTTTATTCCATTTACTCATTCATATACATTTTGTTTTATAACATGGCTTACAATTGATCAATGCCATTTATTATAATGTCCTATCAAATCTTCATTTGTACCTTGTCTTTGCACTCACCCTACCCATCCAGCTGCTAATCTCTGCCCTTCTCTCACTCACTCTCCACCCCTGAGGCCCCATATAATAGAAAGTATGTCTAAAAATATTTTTAGGCTGCAGTCTTTAGGGGAAAATCCCTGTCCATGCAATGATTAAGCACTTAGCAGTTAACTAAAAAGTCAGCACTCTGTAAGAGAGAAATGTGGTATCCTGCTTCCACAGAGATGTTCAGACTTGAAAACCCTCTGGGGCAGTTCTACTCTGCCCGATCGGGTTGCTAAGAGTTGGAACCAACTCAAAAGCAATGGGATTAGTTTGCTTTGTTCTCTTTGTTCTTGTTAGATGTCGTCGAGTAGACTTCAATCTATTGTGGAAGTGTGTCTAACACATGGAAAACTTGCCTGATACTTTGCAGCCTCACATTCTCTTCCATGCGTAAGCCCATTATTACAATCACTGTGTCAACACAGTAGTTTAATTTTAGAGTCTTTCTCCTGCAGACCCACTGGATACGTTCCAACCACAAGCTCTGTGGTCAGCAGACAAGCACCTAAGCAGTGTGCCACAAGGGCTCCTTCTCTATGCCATTCCTAAAAGGGATATCATTTCTTGAATCAGGAATGAGTATGGTATGATTTGTTGTTAATTTTTCATTCATTCTTGGAACCCCCTCTTCTCTTACCAAACAAAAATACATTCAGTGTGCTATCTTCCAACTTACTGACTTTACAGTTTGGAATGAACCTAGAAGTGAATCTCATTAACAAGCTGTAGGTGAAGAGATTGAGATTGTTCACAGCTT